CAGCTTTCAAAAGTGGGAAAAAGTAGATCCAAGCAATATTCTTGAGCAAATTAATAAATAGCTTGTTTATGTGCAAATACTGCAGAAAATGTTGCTCTGTGGAGGCCAATAGAGTTTTCCTAAATAGTTTAGTGCCAAACTAACTTCATCTTTTGAGATAAGAGTGAATGAGTAGGTCACAGGACTGTCTTAGGCAGAGTGGATCTTGATTTTAGCAAGATATTTGGCATAGGCTCACATGACTTACAAGTGAGATTCTAATATTTATAAATTCACTTATTCTTAGCTAAGAGTCTGCCGTGTGCTGTGTTTAGTATGGTAGGTAAACAGGACAGGCCATGACTGTGAATTAAACCATTGTGACTTGTCCTATGCCTAGCGGTGGAGAAAAATAATAAAGCAATAAAATAAAAAGATTACTCTGGCTGCTGGGAGGAGGATGGATCAGAGAGGGCAGGAAAAGGGAGACAGGTAGAGATTATCACAGTTGCCCGGAAATTAAAGATGATGGTGGCTTGGTTAGAGTGGTGGCAGTGGAGATGGAAAAAAAGCATATGGATTTGGGATATATTTCGGAGGTAGAAATGATAGGACACTTGCCAATGAATTAGATATGAAGGATGGGGGAGTAGATGAGAGATCAAGAATGACTTCCAGGTTTCTGGCTGGAACAGTTCACTGGACGATGGGCCATTTTCCAGATGGTCTTGTTCTATTGAAAGTTAACACCAGTTACTTGGATGAAGGCAGACTCAAGATATGAAGCTTGATGAGGCAGTTGATACATAAGTAAAAAGGATCAACAATTTAAAAAGATATCACAAGACTGGAAAGATAAAATGTAATGGAAATAAGTGCAGAGTCTGGGAGAGGACCAGGATAGAACCAGGAAAATTAGCTTAATAGCAGTTTGCACCAGAAGCTCAATAAGGATGAAAAGTATGACATGGCTGCTGTAAAAATGAATACCAAAATACGTTGCCTTAAAAGAAGCATGATGTCGGGGCCAGCCCAGTGGCATAGCGGTTAAGTGCGTGGGCTCCGCTGCTGGTGACCTTGCTTCAGATCCCGGGCACGCACCAACGCAACGTTTGTCAGGCCATGTTGTGGCGGCATCCCACATAAAGTAGAGGAAGATGGGCACGGATGTTAGCTCACGGCCAGTCTTCCTCAGCAAAAAGAGGAGGATTGGCATGCATGTTAGCTCAGGGCTGATCTTCCTCACCAGAAAAAAAAAAAAAAGAAGCATGATGTCCAACTCAAATTAATAATCTTACCATGCTTTGCATTGTTTGGACCAAAACTGATGTGATAGCATTGTGCTTTTCTTGGCACACAGCAATTAAAAAGAATGATTGAGAAACTGGACCATGAATGAGGTGTAAATAGCCTGAACACTCCATCACAGGATGAACAGATTAGAGATGTTTAAGTCAAGGAGTGCAATCTTAAAATGAGTATCATCAGATGGACTGTTAGGTGGAAGAGGGTTTAGATTTCAAGTAGATTCAAGTAGGTCCAGATGGTAAAAGGACGACCCAAGCGTAGAAATAGCAGCAGTGGTTTCAGCTTAGCCTCAGTTCCAGTGCACAGCACTTTCCAGAAACAGGATGAGCTGCATATGTGTCGCCTGTCAGAAGACCTGGATGCCTATGTGTTGGCATGGAGCATAGAGGTTTTCTGTCCTGGGTGAAAAGCAGGACAGAGTAGTCTCTAAAGGTCTCTTCCTAACCCAGGAGTCTAGAATGCTGTTTCCTAAAAAGCCTCTTTCTTCTTAGGGGACACAAAATTTCCTAGGATATCCCTGTACCACGTCGTTCAAAGTGTTGCTGAAATGAGGGCTCTCAAAAGTTTCTGACCACATTCTTCAGAAGACTAACTCTCCTGCCACTGCTTCCGCAGGGCCCATGTCCAGTTACATGTTCTAGATCCCCTTCTCTTCAAGACTGAACATAAGTCTGAAATAGCAACACCTTGACAACTCAACAGCCTATTGCTGAGATTTAGTTCCCATTGAAACATGCCTTTTTCAGCAAGCAGCTTTTGCCCCAGCCATATTAAAACCTTAGGTCAACTGTTGGCAGTGTGAAAACTTACATGATATCCACATGAAATGAAAAAATGAATCACTCATGTTCCTCTTAGCACAGGAATACCAGCTTATGTTCTCTTCCAGGAGACCACAATTATATGTACAAATACCTACTGGAGAAATGGGGGCACAATCTTCAACATAGAAGAAATTTTCAAATTAAGGCATTACATTCTCTCAAGTCATTCCTCCTGCTCTTTCTTTTAGATGTCATGTTTTCTGAGTCTCTGACATCTCTGACTGGATCCTCTTAAATTATTCTAGGATCTATTTTAGCCAATTAGACGACTTATTGCTTCTTTCTAAGAATCCAAACGAGGAGGTGCACTTTTCTAAATTTTAATCCCATTAATGCTAGACTCTATTATAGCCTAAAGCAGTCTTAGAGTTTTATGTACAGAATTTGTCTGTTAGTGACCTGATAGAAAAAGCTTTTTGTTTTATATTAGCTTTCAATCTTTGAAGGGAAGATCTGTATTTTGGGAGAGATGGAGAAGAGAGTCTTCAGAGATTGGATCATTAAAGGCAAAGGCTATCAGACTCTCACTACGGGTCCTTCCTTCTGGGGTGCAATGTTATGTCTCGTAAACATGGGAGCAAGTGGGTTGGTTTCATCACTGTGGGAGGACCTCATTCTGCTATGAAGTGTGAAGGAGAAGAGAGGTGAACTCCCTGCTAAAATCTTCCCTGATCAACACTTTTCTCCCACTTGAAAAAGAAAAAGAGGTGAAAGGAGTTTATGGAGAAATCCTTTACCTCTTGCCAAAGGCCACAGGCCAGCTGAGCATCATCTACAAAGAGATTCAGCCCAATAGAATGTTCGAAGAGGCAGCCATGAGCAAGAACCATGTGGTCCCAGGGGCTATTAGCTGAGGGAACAGATGCCTCCTTAGAATGTTTCTTTTACTAATAAGTACCCAGTTCTCCCAGGTTGAGGCCTTCGGTTAATCATTATGTATATGTTAGTAATTATTCCTCCTGGTAGGCACGTAGTTCCTGCAAGGTCGTAGCTGGGGGCGAGTGGTAATATCCCCTCACCTCCCCAGGTCAGTCCCAAGAGAATCGCCTCTACGGGGCACATGGTCAGTCCAGAACAGCACATGGCTAATCCTAAAATTGCATCCACCCTCTCCCCAACTGGGAAGCTCATGCTCTTCTGTGCCACACAGAAATCCTCTATGTCCTGTCACAGGCACATGTAGAAGTTGCCACTTAGTGTTCTGTGTCCCTAAAAACATGAGTGAACTCTGAGTGAAACTCAAAGCTTGCTTCTTCAACAAAAATATTGTTTATCTTATAAGATAAAAATCGTACCACAATTGTGCCCTGTATCTTATTCTCTGGCAAAGCGTATCAAATCATGCTCCATTACATATCTCAAAAGTGCGGATTGGTTAATAAATGCTTGCTCTCAGTTTCTCGTGTCCCTCAACCAGAACAGATAATAAGGGACTTACCCTCTTAGTCACCCTCCTACTCAAGAATGTTAGCTAAGTCACTATAAATCTGAATGCACTTCCTTACAATCATATCTTAACCTAAATTCCCCTTTATTAGCTGCTCAGTTTGACGTTCACCCAAAGTGTTGGATTTTCTATTCTTTCTCTCAGTGTTTGTTTTACCTCTGCTGAGCTCTGCCCCTCTTTTGTGTTTTCCGGCCGATCTCTGGCAGGCCATCCGCTCTGCGGTTGACCATTCTTTACTCCCATTTATCTCCTGGTGACTGCACTGCACATAGGAGAAACACGACGCCGTAGACATGACAGAACTAAGGAGGAGTCTGTCTACCTGGGGCAAGGGAAGGCACCTGAGAAGGTGACATTTGAGCTGGGCCCAAGGGCAGTGGTTCAACAGGTGTGCGGGGTAGGGGAAGGGGTTGGGGAGAGACAGCCCGAGCAGAGAGAATTTTATGATGTGCCAAGTACCTCTCAACAGTACTTGCTAGAAAAATAATTGCCTTAAATGACTCAAATGTGGAATCAATTGTAGTAATGTATTGTTCCAGGGATCTATTTCCCCTACATCAGGAAGTAAGTGGTTTCATCTGGGAGACTGGAAATTTTTTCTTTTTAACAAATTTTTTCTTTTTATTTTCAATTATTATGTCTGTTTTAACCAAATGATTCGGAAATAATCTATGTAATCTCCCACATCATTTTAACTGTGCTTTTTCTTGAGGAGGGTTTGATAGTGAGCCAGATGTACTAAAACAAAAACATGAGTTCGTCATTCAAAAAAGTCTTTTCATTATGCTTGATTGTCAAAATTTCCCCATCAGTTAAAAGAGGCGCTTATTCTTTTAAGAGGAACCAGGTGCAAAAAAAGTGAATTATCTCAGTGGTCCAATGTATAGTTTCAAAAATAGCCATAGAGTAGTTAGATGAAAAGAACCTTAGACATCTTTTGGCTTGTGTCTTTATATTATAAGTGAGGAATCTAGGGATGGGAGAAACTGAGCAAGTTGCCCAAAGTCACAGGGTCACTGACCTAAGGGTCACTGCATGCCTTTCCCTCAGCCTCCCCCACCCACCCCTCCCCGCCAGTCCCACACCCCTTTCTCACACTTTCTCACCGGGATGTAACAGAAAGTGCACCAGAGACTACAAAAACTCTCTTTCATAATGTTGTTTTAAACTCATCTCAACTGAAATGATCCCAGAGAGCTATTTTGGCTTTGATTACGTAAAGGATTTGAACTGTTAGAGTTACTCAGATTCTAATGAGCACTTCTTTATTTGGTAGAACATTTTTATTGAGGACTTTAAAGAGGGTGTGACTAATAGATTCCAAAATTTGGATACCATCAACAAATGGTGTTAACCATATAAATAAACCTTTGCCCTTCTGAAATGTAAGGTCAGAGTGTGATTTTTATAGTTTATTACAAGATTTGTTTTCTTTGCTTTAGGGTCCTTTTGACTTCAGTGACACTGCTGTCTATCTATTCAATAAACCTTCTGTTAATCTGTTCAAAGGAAACAGGTAAGCTGATAATATGTCTAATTTTGTTAAAGCCAGAGTGAATGATTTTCATGGTGATATTCTCAACTAATGATGCCCTTTCTGTTTCAGTAACTTAATTATTAAAGAAAAAGAGTACTTTGACCTACAGTTACTGGAAGACCTATAATGATATTTACCTAGAGAAGGAAATACAGCAACATATAAATTAAACTGTCATGAACTATAAGCAAATAGCATTGTTATTTAAAGTGAACCCTCTATTATACCTGCTTTTCTGGTTGAAGATGTCTTCATTTTAAAGGCTTTGGTTTTTCCTTAGGTCGTTATAAATTTAGAATAAGGATCCTGTGTTTTTATATTATAGCCTCCACGGTTTTAAAAGTAAACAGAAGGCCGGCCCCGAGGCTTAGCAGTTAAGTGCGCGTGCTCCGCTGCTGGCGGCCCGGGTTCGGATCCCGGGCGCGCACTGATGCACCGCTTCTCCAGCCATGCTGAGGCCGCGTCCCACATACAGCAACTAGAAGGATGTGCAGCTATGACATACAACTATCTACTGGGGCTTTGGGGGGGGAAATAAATAAATAAATAAAATTTAAAAAAAAAAAGGTAAACAGAGCTTTTAGGGGCCAGCCTGGTGGCATAGTGGTTAAGTTCGCACGGTCTGCTTCAGCAGCCCGGGGTTCACAGGTTGGGATCCTGGGTGTGGACCTACGTACCGCTTATCAAGCCATGCTGTGGCAGGCATCCCACATATAAAGTAGAGGAAGATGGGCACGGATGTTAGCCCAGAGCGAATCTTCCTCAGCAAAAAGAGGAGGATTGGCAACACATGTTAGCTCAGGGCCAATCTTCTTCACCAAAAAAAAAGTAAACAAAATTTTTATTCTCTTTTGTGCATATTCCAAGGAGAAAATGTGACTCCCAAGGCAATGAGGGAGTGAGTGCGCCATGAAAAGACTTCCAGTTCTCTGGGCAGTGTGACACCTGAAGTGTTTATTTTCTATTTCTGGGACACTGGATTATGTTTGTAATACTTTGACTTTTACGTTAGCTAAAACCACATTGGCCAGCTATTATTGTATATAGGCGACTCCGCTTCACTGGAACATTCTGTAATAAATTGAGGATCTAACCATTGTCTGGTTTAAACACCAGTCTTGTGAGAGATTAAACAAAGGTTTAATTATAACCTGACCCAGATTGCGTTCTGTGAACCTTTTGGAAATGTGAACTGAACTGTCATAAAGAAATATAAACACTTTTTTTATATGAATGGTTTAGAATTTTAGTATTTATTGAGAGGGGCTAGTCGAACACTTTAGAATTTTGCTATAGTCAAATTATTCTTTTGACAGATTTATCTACTGCTCTCTTTTGTGAGTTGCATATCTTTGAACTGAATTTTACGAATGAGCAGAACTCTGATGTCGGGACTATTACATATTTCTAAGCTTGTTATTATATTTAGGACATGGGCATTGATGGAATATTATTAAGATAATTCTTTGTTAGCCTAATCAGTTCAGGTAATTAATTCAAAAGGAAACATTCATCCTAACCATCAGGATTTTTATTTTTAAATTAAATCTTTATTTTAATGGGATGCACTAGACCGGAGAATGAGATCAGAATGGGAATTTCCCCCCAGGAAAGCAGGAAGACTATTTGAGGTAGTCAGAAATAAGTCTTATGACCTAACACTTTAATTGTAGTGCTTTTGTAGCCAACCTGAAAAAGGAGAAATGGTGGTCATGTCTGACATTTTAAAATGTCAGGAGGTTGTTTTATGATGGAAATACCTTAGCACTTACAAAGCCAAGAAGGCTATTTGTGTGATTTTTGAGAAAGACACAAAATAACTTGGGGAATAGTCAATATAATGATGAAATCTTGGCTATTTTTAACTTATAGAACCCTTTATTTCTTGTGTTCTCAAATATGATTTTTAAATAGGCTGCATGGTTTATGAAAAGCTGGGAGAACAGGTCTTTGGCACCACGGGGAAGCTTGTCATCTTTGGAGCCACCTCTCTGCAGAACACTGGAGGTAAAAAGAACATGCTTTTCTATGCATAATTTTAAAGTATGTGAACATTATTACTTTCCTAATTCTGGTGGTTGGGTGGCCACATGAATTTTACCATCATTCAATCAGTTGTCATTCTCATTGCTAAAATGGTGCATGGAAAGTGAAACAGAGACAGCTGTCACTTATTTAAAACCAAGTATGCTGGGAGAGTGTCTAACGCTGTCTGTGTGTGTTATTGGAGGCTGCTCTAAGAACAGGCTGGTAACCTTCTATATAGCTTGCAACATGAACCTTAGTATCTTCTTTCTAAAAATGTTCTCATTTTCCTCTAGCAATGCTCAGCTACCTCTTTATAGTAAAAAATGAACTACCTTCTGCCATAAAGTTTCTAATGGGAGAGGAAGACACATTTTCGTAAGTTATAGACCATTTTTTATGCAATAATTAAAATGTTTTCAATTTAAATATGGGCTAGCCAAAGTTTTTGTTTTATGAAAATTGCAGAAACAAAGTTTTCCCTAAGCTGTTTTTTTGTTGTTGTTTCAACAGTAGATTTCTTTGGGGCTCTAGAATTGAAAGAAGCAGGACAGGCCATTGGAGTATGAGCATTTAAAAGGTGGATTCATCAGTCATGCTGCAAACAGTAGATACGGCATTTTCTCAGGAGCCTAGAGTCCATATCTAGTTTCCGTGAAATAGAACAGAAATGGAATATTTTTAACACAGAAGTGGAACACGCAAAAAAATTAGGACCCTATCCTCTTTCTTAAAGAAGGGACATAGCATTTTGGGCACAAAATTTACATGAGCCAACCTCATTCAAGATGTAGGTAACCCTGGAAAATGCTGCAGCTCCATTTGGCATATCCGTTATGTTTTGTCTCCCTCTTGTTTAACAATTCTTGTCGGTCTTAGTTTCTCTGTTTTCTTTCCAGGGAGAATCGTAGCAGCCAGAGTTCCTAGTGTTCTAGCCTCAGGATTCAAAGTCAAATACAAGAGATTAGGGAGACAGCGATGCCTACCTGTGGTGACTTGTTTCCCAATGATATTAGCCAAGCAAAACAAAAAGGAACTGTCTCTTTAAATAATTGATAAGACAAGTTGTAATCTGACGGAATGCAGTGTGTGCATTCAGCTTTGAAACCATGTAAATAATTCAAAGGAATGCCACATTTAGCCGGTAGGGGAGGAAAAAAACCCAATATCCCTTCTTCCATCACATGGGAGAGAGACAATAGTAAATAAGTAGGGGTTGGGTTAAAGTGTTTGGGTAAAACCTGAACAGTGATAAAAATCAATGGTAAAAATTAATAGTAGTAAAAAATTAATTAAAATATATTGCGAAATTTTACATTTGAGGAAAAAATGTCACTTTCTAAGAAAATATGACCTAACTGTTTAAATGCCTTTCAGAGCCTGGTATGTGGATGGCCGCATTCTGGTGGTGATAGTTACCTTTGGCATAATTCTCCCTTTGTGTCTCTTGAAGAACCTAGGTAAGGAGAGATCTTGCTTTCTCATAGTCTCCACAGTGCCCGGATGAATCAGAAACCTATTAAAAAGGAACAACTTTGCTCTCTGCTTTCACTTGTAGGATAAATATTAAGTGAATGATATATTACGAGTATTAGTCAGGGTCGACTTTGATATGAGATAAAAACACTGGTTGGTGTGTAACTTCCTAAACAATCCCTCTGCTAAGCTGTGGAGGAGAGAAGGGAGGTTCTGGGGCAGTAACAGACAGTGCTATTTCCAATAGCACAACTTACTGGCTACTCTCAGAAAAGTCCAGAAAACCCAATTCTCCTCATACAGGGTTTAAATATCCTGGTGATTTAGACAAGCAGATTTTCAAATCTTATATCAGACAGAAAGTTGCTTGTATTCATACCTAAAAGTATTATGAATCACTCTTAAATTATAAGAGTCTAACCAATCTCCATTATTTGCTCCATTGAAGGGGGAAAGAGAAGTGAGAAGTCAAAAGTGGTGGATAATCACTAAGTCATATCCATTTGGTTTTGGTGTTCTGGTGTGTGTGCTTATATCCAGAGACAAGTGGGCCTGATGTCATGGGAATTTCATACACTGAGTAATGTGGCTGGACTGCTATACAGTCTAAAGCCCCTGAAATGCATTTCCTTTAATTCTGGGCTAATTTAAGGCAGAAATTTAGATTCAAGTTCTTCCTAAAATGATTGCTAACCATAGTTTTTTGTTGTGTTTTGTTTTGTATGAAAAATACCAAGCTTCTGTAGCTGTTCTGTAAGATCTATAAGTAGATTTTTTTTTTAACTACTTAATTTTCTGGTCGCTGGGTCTGTGTTTTGGCTTTTCTATGTATATACACGTAGCTGTTTTCAGTTTAAGCAGAGAAGGGCTCTTCTCCCCAAGGGAGGACAATAGTGCAGCCTCCCAGGGACCACCTAACTCTGCTTTTCTGAAGGTTACAGTGGTTGGAGATCTGCCAGGCATTCTAAGGGGAGCAAGGTGAAGATCCACAGATGCTCAGATTACCCCTAGAAATCGCTTCATCTCCTCTGTGCATGCCCCTCATCTGGGAAGAGAAGTATTGGCGCTGATGTTCAGTATGCATACAATGAGTGCATAATAAAGAACTATTGAATGGATCGAGGAGAAAATGGATTTTGCCATAGGACTCCATCAGAGTACAGCAGCAGAGACCTATGGCCAAATTTGGGAGGCTCTTTTTCCCTGGATTCTGGGAATCTGCATTCTCTGGTGTGCCAGAGAGAACTGGAATCAAAACACATAATATAATGTTTTTATTTAAAGTCACCGTTTTTGCCGAATAAAGTAGCACTATCAAATAATAAATCTTGTATTCACATTGGCATGTATGTGTATTGTTGGAACCCCAAACTGTGCTTGAAATAATGCATTGAAAGAAACAAGGTGATGAATGAAATAACAATAATAATTTTCTAAACATTTTTTTAGGGTATCTTGGCTATACTAGTGGATTTTCCTTGAGCTGTATGGTTTTCTTCCTAATAGTGGTAAGTGTCAATTGAAATGGTTCGTTTGGTTTTGCCATAGTACAATGCCATGTAATAATTATTCATTATTTGGCTTTATTCGATAAGGTCTATATTGTTTCTCCTGAATTTTTTAATACCAGGTTATCTACAAGAAATTTCAAATTCACTGCGTTGTTCCAGAGCTAAATTCAACAAGTGCTAATTTAACAATAAGTGCTAATTCAACAATAAGTGCTAATTCAACAAATACTGGCATGTGTACGCCAAAATATGTTACCTTTAATTCAAAGGTAAGTTTCTTTATCCTTTAATTATAAAAAAGAGAATTTTTATTAAGGGCATTATATTTCTCATACTTGGTGTAATTAAACTGTTTTGAATGTGTTCGTTCTCAAAAGAACGTGGTACCACTGCTTCCAAATTCCACGATCCATTTGGAGACCTTTGAGAAATATACAAATATTGTATATCATGCTCCCTCTTACCCAGTTTACATGTAGGACAACTTTAAGCATTCTCTGTGAAAATCTGTTTCTGGATAATTGTCTCAGCTTTTCTCTTCCTTATAGATCTTTAAAAACAGATTAATACTATCCTTAGCCCACTTCTTCCTCTCTGGTGGTGACAGACAAGAAAACCTCAAACTTTCCCAGCTTGCACAGTTGAAATATAGATACAACCACAAATTGGCATTAAGAAATTTTCATACTATTAAGATATTGTTAATAGTCTGGGGAAGAGTGGACTATGGAATTGGTCAGGCTTCGATTTGAATCGTCAGGCAAGTTACCCAACCCCATGTATAAAAACAAGGATTCTATTCTGTATCTTGCAGGGTTTTTTTAGAATTTGCTTGGTACAGTACTTGGGCAGAATAAAAGCATGAGAAATGTTACTTTTCCTTCCTTCTCTGCCAGCTTCTTTTTGCAAAACAAGTTATACCGAGTTTGAGAGTTTTAAAAAGTCTTATCTAAGGGGGCCAGCCCAGTGGTGTAAGTGGTTGGGTGTGTGCACTCCACTGCTTTGGCCCAGGGTTGGCCAGCTCGGATCCTGGGTGTGCACTGACGCACTGCTTGGGGAGCCATGCTGTGGCGGCGTCCCATGTAGAGTGAAGGAAGGTGTGTATGGATGTTAGCCCAGGGCCAGTCTTCCTCAGCAAAAAAAAAAAAAAAAAAAAGGAGGATTGGCAGACGTTAGCACAGGGCTGATCTCCTCACACACACAAAAAAAGTCTTATCTAAGAAAACTAAATAGAGATCTCTGTCTCTGTCTCTTAACTCTAAGGATACAGCCAAAATAGTGTGGAAGTAATTTTCTTTGTAGATACCATCTTTTAAGTCTGATTTGATGCACCCTGTATAGAGCAAAGAGCAGTGACATAGAAGTGGAAATCCTGGGCATGTCCCCTAACCTGTTGGAGGGAGTCAGGAGAACAGCAACAGTCTGTGTACTGCTCAGGGTTGCTGTGGACTCAGGGATAATGTAGGAAAAGAGCTATGTAACCGGCTAGCACCGTATAAATATGGGGTGATGCTATGCCTGGAGTATGCCAACTACGCTGTAGATGAGCCGAATCTAAAACCCCTCTCTGCCATGTGCCTAATGTCTCAAGCTAGATAAGCTCTCTTAGAAAAGCTGCTCCTATTTTAGGTATCAAAGCCCTCCTAATAACCAAATAATCCAGGGATTCTGAAGAGCTGTCAGATAAAAAGACAGCTCAGAAATACTGGAGCTGTATAATTTTTATGGTAAAAATGCTTTTTCTTAATGTTTCTTTTTTTTTCTTCCAAATAGACCGTGTATGCTCTACCAACTATTGCATTTGCATTTGTCTGCCACCCGTCAATCCTGCCAATTTACAGTGAGCTTAAAGAGTAAGCGATTTGTTTAATTTCTTTACCTGAATCATTTCACATCCCCTCATTAATAGGCAAGTACTGTACTAAAATAAACGGACTTGTAATAGTGAACCCCGCAGACTCATCACCCAGCTTCAACATTTACTTTCCGCCATTCTTTAGCAAGTACTGTATTTTAAGGAAAAAAAGAGCAAGAAAAATCAGAAACTTGTAGTATATTTTGGCCATAAATATATAAAGTGGCCAACTATATGGGCTTTTTTTGTTAATTTGGTTTTTCAAATACTATACTACTTAAGAGAGTTCAAGTATTTGTGTTGCTTTATGTTACTTATGCTTGTTTTGCAAATGGATAATGATAATCTTCAGATTCATCTATAAACTGCTAAATACACTGTGTCTGATTTGCCTATTGTTTTAGGTGGAAAAGGCTGGTAAATCAGGCAGAAAGAAATTAATGTTAAGACCACAAACTAGACAAAAGAATATTGTTGTTCGTTTTAAACTATTAAGATGATTCTGTGGATTTATTTTTGATTGCTGTTCTAGAGAAAACCAAAGGCCCGCTTATAAATTTCCTCATGGATTCTCTTTTTAGTCTGCTGTTATCAGACTTTCTATATAAAAATAGTCATCATGGCATAGTCTTAAGCTCAGAAAAGATACACAATATAGCTACCTATTTCTATTTTGAAACAAAAATAAAGTTGATGTCATTTAGCATTGAATTCATGATTCTTCCTCTTTCATATTTAATTGATATCTGGGTAAATTTTGAAATATCTACACCTACCTATCTATGTGTATATCAGTCCTACTTTATGATTAGGGTATTTGAATATGTCTTTGGTATCTTTTAAATTTAATTGTCCAGCTTTTAGTTTGTAATTTTCTCATGTGTGTACTTCTCAATTTTTCTTGTTTTCCATATTCCCTGTTATGACACAGCCGAATGTTATGACTGTCGGTGGTCTGTTATTAAGTACAAGTCTTGTAGGTTAGTTATTTGGGCAGTTAAAGAAGCTTAAAGATTCATCCAAACTCCCAGAGCTGACCTAAGAGATAGAGGCCCCCACCATCGCAGCTGTGACCTCTTGGGTGCTTCTTGCTCTGCAGACGTGCAGACTTCCAGGTGCATCCCTGGGGCTATGCAACAGGAAAGCCGGAACCTAAATAGCGGCTTTAGCAACGGAACACCTGAAGTCAAGATCCAGCTCTGGGGCGGGGAGAACAGAATTTGAAGGCTGAGCGTGGAGATAATATCAAACACAAATATTAAAAAGTACTCTCTGCCCTTCAGATGAGAACTTGATATTCTTTCAAAAGAATGGGGAAGAACACTCAAGGGATTATTTGTTCATGGACCTCTCTCTCACAATACCCATTTGGTATAAAAGTTATTCTAAACCGGAGTAATTGTGGGGGTAATTTCAGCTGGGCAGATCTTCCCTAGCCTGCTAGAAAGTTAGATTAGTATTCTGCAGTGTTAACACTGGTGCTTAAATTCAGTCACATGGTTTTTAATTTTTCAAATTCCTTTATCTTTGTTTTTAGTCGATCACAGAAAAAGATGCAGATGGTTTCAAATATCTCCTTTTTCTCCATGTTTGTTATGTACTTCTTGACTGCTATTTTTGGCTACTTGACATTCTATGGTAAGTAACCTCTGTCAGTACATAAATATAGGTATTTGCAAGTAAATTAGTAAAAATCGATATCAAAATAACTTTTAACACGATAACCAAAAAAGCAACAAATCTATCCATTGATTTTGCTGGTCTTTTCTTCTACTTAAAGCAAATGGTGATGGTTCCTTTACATATTCATGCAGACTGCACAATAGAATAACTACTGAAACAATGTGCTCTTCTTTTTCTCCTAATGCTGTCCTTAAAAGAAATTGCATTTTAAAAGCATACCGCCTTTACTGAGGAAAGTTTCAAACTATATCACAGAAGCCTCTCCTAATTGCTGTTGCGAATTGGGTCAGATTCCATTAATAGAAAAGAGAGACAGAGACAGACGTTCAAAGTGAGAAAGAGCAGAGTGCCACACTCATGACACTCCGAGTTAATTAAAAATAAAACACTTAATTGTTCACCAGAAGTCGGAGCCTTTGCAAAGATTTGAGAGAATGACATAGGAAATTAAAAGAAATGAAATCTGAGAAACAGAACAAGGTTTCATTTGTAACTTTTATTGACCCTGTATGAATAGTTTACTTTCTTTCCCTACTTCTTCATCCTCTCCTATTCAAATTATCCTGTAGCTTTATTTAAATCTTTCATTATCATTATAATTTGGGACCTAATTTAAATTTAAATGCATATATTTCACATTCTTCTCTATTAAATAATATTTCTTTGGGGCATTTGTATTGTACATTTTCGTAAACACAAATGTCTCAAAATTTAAACACATTTAGAGATTATTAATTCAGCCTGGAGAGAAAGGCTACCCTGATTATACAATTGTATTATTACCATTTTCACAAGCAATGGAGAATAGCATTGTCTAATGAATCCGTAAATACCACATTTAATTTTTGCATAAAAATGGTGTTTCTTAGTTTCCTGCAGAGTTACAGGGCTGGGGATGGGTAAAGGGAGGGAGCGAGAAAGAGAGTTTAATGTTAGTTGAACAGTCTCACTGTTATCTTGTTCAAGCTATGATTTTTCTTTGCGAATCCATTTTTTTTCCACATGGAATAGACTACCAAACCCTTCTATACTCTTAGGTTAAAGAAAAAGGTTCAGCTATTTTTAATTGGTTATGAATTTTGAATCAAGGAAATCAGAACTGAGACTTTTATTATAACCTAGGATCTTTCTTCCAAAACTGAGACCAAACTGGCACGGACTAGAGTTGGAATTCCACACCCAAAACCTTGAGACTGGAGCCATGAGAAGCCCTCAAAAGGAGACATGGGCGAGGGGAATGGTCTCTTGTCAAAGGAGTGAGCATTTTCATGCTCCGTGACTGCCCTTCTAGCTTTGGTTGTCTCTGAAATAACGCTGTCTGAACTTCAGAGTTGAGAAAGAGCACAAAGTGGTCCATAAGCTAAATACTTGTGTGTGTGCGTGAGGAAGACTAGCCCTGAGCTAACATCCAATGCCAATCCTCCTCTTTTTTCTGAGGAAGATTGGCCCTGGGCTACCATCCGTGCCCATCTTCCTCTACTTTATATGGGACGCCGCCACAGCATGGCTTGACAAGCGGTGCATCGGTGCATGCCCGGGATCTGAACCCGCGAATCCCGGGCTGCTGAAGCGGAACGTGAGCTCTTTACCACTGTGCCACCAGGCCAGCCCCAAGCTAAATATTTTTTTTAATAAGAAAAAACATATCTTGAAGAGAAGAATTATTTCCTGATTGTGGTTATGTTCCATTGGCGCTTCTGCTGCTTGGCCACTGCAAGTTGAGTTATAAGATGAGTTTGAAAGAGGTTCCCAGTGGCCTGCAGTCTACCAGCAAGGGTGTGGCTGTTTGGCGTTGTTTGATGAGTGGCACCAAGTGGGGGAAAATCTAGATTAAGAAGGGCTTTGTGCTTCAACTGTATGTTATTTTTAATCCCAATTTACTCCTAGGTTTAATTTAGTGTAAATTAAGCATCTGCACTCCACGTAGCTTCTTCTAGTGATTTCTATAAATTCCTTTTAGCTCAAGTTACATATGGACAGGTGGCGCACGTCTCACACATGGGATTTTTCTTTTCAACTTCATAAATTGTTTTAACAGATCCTTCAACACCCAGAACATTGCTCTCCTTGCCCTTTCATTTACAAATTCCTTGTTGTTCAGAAAAACCGTCATTCAGTGACGTTCTTTTGTCTCTTTGTAATACCTCCTTACTTTTCCCTCATTTTAGAAAATGTGCATTCAGACCTCCTTCACAAGTACCAGAGCAAAGACGACATTCTCATCCTGACAGTGCGGCTGGCTGTCATTGTTGCTGTCATCCTCACAGTGCCAGTGTTATTTTTCACGGTGAGTAAAAGTCCTCAGTGCAACCTGAGAAAAGCTGAGGAGAGTCTCCCCTTTCCTTCTGCCGGCAGGAGCCGGTTGCAGAGAGGGCCTGCTGCAGGTAACTTTCCTGCATCATTCAAAGTGAGATCAGTGAGTTAGGGTAGCCTTCTGATGGAATGCGTCTTAATTCTAACTAATCAGTCCCTCTTATCTACATTTACGAATGTAGGTAGAATGTTTGAATCTCCATCATACATGACAGGAGAATGAGAAGAACCAGAAGAGAACACTCAGTCATAGATAAAACAAAAACGGAAATTATCCTCCCACAAAAGAAAACTACCTGTTCATAAATAAAAATACTTTCCATCTTAAGCCCTCCAGCTTCCCAAACTGTTAAGCTATCTATAAATCCAGTAGGTATTACAAAACATTTCACAAATTTCTGTACACCCATATATTAGTCACTCTGCTGAGAAATGTGAAGGTTGGCATGCTGTAGGCCCTTACAGAATCTTTGTTTTCTTTGCCTGCAGGTTCGTTCATCTTTATTTGAACTGGCTAAGAAAACAAAGTTTAATTTATTTCGTCATGTCTTGGTGACCTTCATACTCTTGGTTGTTATCAACTTGTTGGTGATCTTCATACCCTCCATGAAAGATATTTTTGGAGTCGTAGGTATGGCTTTATGACTTAACACTTATTATTCTACAACAGCTGTTTAGAAAGCTAAAATTTCACAATAACAACCTCAACCTTGTTTTTTCTTATTTTGCAGGAGTTACATCTGCTAATATGCTTATTTTCATTCTTCCTTCATCTCTTTATTTAAAAATCACAAGCCAGGATGGAGATAAAAGAACTCAAAAAATTTGGGTATGTCTTATGCCAGCCACTCTAATTTTTCTGATTAGTTTTTCAAATTTACCAAATAAATAGTCCATCTCCACCATCTAATACCACTTTTAGTGGCCTCGAAGTCCTGTAGTTTTCCCATTTGGAAGATTTAAAATATCATATCAAAATCTTCTCCATTCCCTCAAAAAAACTTTCACATTTTACTCTTATTGTCTTAGCTTTTACTTGGAGCTAGGGAGACAGCTGGGAGACTAGATGTTTCTCATCCTGTGTCTCTACAGGGTGATGCCTTGTCTTTAGCACGATATGAAGTAGAGAGGGACTGAAACATTTTATGCAGTCCCCTGTTACGTACGATCCCCAGTCATGTAACTCCTTCCTACAGCCCAGGGAATGTGCGATGCCTTAATTACAACGGCTGAGTTAGCTGAAAGAGTCTCTTCATGATTTGACAGAAATGCTTTGAAGCAACAGACCTGGATTCAGAAACTACCTTTCTATATTGGGATTCTTGTTGCCAGGTCTGGAAGTTCAAGGGCACCTTGAAGGTGGTGCACTTGGAGACAGTGAGGGAAGCAGGGGTGAAGTGGCTGCGACATGGGTACCTTCTGGAGCACCATTATGTTTGGCCTCGAAGAAGGCTTCTCAGCTGCCCTTCCAGCTAGTGTAAGCACTCCAATCGCACATAGTACCTGAGTCAACAGACCCGGATGAGAGATGTAGGCAGGAGAGATTATCCCTGTGCATTTAGGAGAAGCAGCACTGATGCTGGTAGAGCACCTACTTCCCCATTAGGATTATCCCTGAAGCCATAAATCTCAAATCCTTCCCCTTTACCAGAAGGGGCTTCAAAAGGACAGAGAGAAAGGAGCAGTCACTCTGGTACAGCAATAAAGTATACTAAGATTAGATCTGAAAATGGTGGAGACCTGTTGCCCATGAATTCTCTGGGCCTCTCCAATCCTGCTCCCATAATAGAGCTGGTAGTAGGGTCTACCGAATAGCATTAGACAAGGGCTCCTCTCTGCGTGGGGACTCACTGGGAGTCAGACCAGACCCATGGTGGTCAGCCTATGTGCAACCCTCTCAACCCCACCATTCGCCTCCTCTCCTTCCCTCAGCTCTGTCTCCCCCTCCAGATTCCTGTCCACCCTCCTTGGCTCTCATAATGCTTCATCCTTCTCCCTGCAAAGCTCTCACTGGATGCTCTCCAGGCCAAGCAATCTATAATCTTGTGTTCTCCAGATTCTAGATTTAGTAACCTGTCCCCTGTGGCCTTCATCAACCCTTGAAGTAACTTAGTTTTGGACAATTGTTTCCTATTTAACTTGATCAGATCTACTTTGCTTTTCTGTATCTTTTTTCTGCTTTTTCAGACAGACATGTTTGCCTGCCAGCAATAACCTGATTGGTAAAGAGTAACAAAATGACCTGTATATTTTCTAAGGCCATTCCTTTTTTCAGTTGTAATCTTAGTTCAAAAGAAGCTGTAAGGATACCCAGTCAGTTGTAGAGCGGATTCACTCTGGGGTGACCATGCAGTCAAAGAACAGAATGTGGAGGAGGGTTCTGCCTAGCTTGTCTGTCTTCATTTCCCATCCTTGGAGAATCAGATTCATACAGTTTTAGAAAGACTCTCACGGCTCAGCAATGGTTGTAACAAACTCCAAACACAAGGGCACACAAAAGGAGAGGGGAAGCATTTCTATTTTTACCCAGGTGCAGGTGGGAAATGTTGGCTTCACTGGAAGTAACCCATGCTTTCTGTTGCTCCAGGCTGCCCTTTTCTTGGGTCTGGGGGTGTTGTTTTCCCTGGTCAGCATTCCGTTGGTCATCTACGACTGGGCCTACTCATCGAGTAGTGACGAAGACCACTGAGACCAGCTGAGAAGAAGAAACATTCCTGTCTGCTGCTCAGTCCAGTCACCACACGTCAGCAACCCCTCATCACTTCTTTTGCAGGTTTACAGAAGCAGACAGCAATTTACAAGATACACAGTGGAATAACACTTTGGTAGGAAAACAGAGACCTGTTTCTATAACAGTTCCTGTCCCTCAGATTTGGGATCCATTTAAAGATTGTGGATTTTTTTTTTTTTTTTCAAATTTCATGCAATCGTATTTTCCAGTCCTTCTCACAATCAGTTCTTTTTCACTCTCCTGACTCTATTTTTTGTGACTTCATGGTCTCTTAGAACTTTGAAAACATGATCATCAATCATGTTTATTTATTATACATCCAGATTCGGAAATAATTTTCCTACTGATGTTCAGCTCACACTATCTGTACCTTTTTAGAAGAGAAGAGAATCTTGAATTGTATATATTTATTTTGCTTTACAGAAAAAAATGGTTTCGTAAATAATTTGCCTATTTTGGTTAACATAGCACACAGGGATAATCATATGAGAGTCACAGAGCACGTGCCATTCTGGATCAGAGTGTGCCCAATATTTGAGGCGGCTCTGATCACCTGGCAGCCGAGCTCCTACCATCCAGTGGCCTCACTGGTACCACATCCCGCTCTACGCAGAGACATTCTCCGGCGAATGTTCTCAGCTGGGAAAGGGGTGGGATGATTCTTACCTTGGTAAATATACTAAACTACACATTTGGGTAATCTAGCAAATGAAATTTTGTTTCCCTCTTGGCAACTTGTGTCAAAGTTACGCAAATCTGAGTCAGCTTCTACTGGGGGAGACCTATGACACCTTTGTAATACATTGAGAAGCAAGAGCACTGCAAAAATGTTGTCCAGAATGCGTAAGACAATATTCCTCTGATGCAGATCGCCTTCAACCCTACACCAGTATTGTTGAAGGGGGAAAAGCATTTTATCAAATTATAAATTCAGTAGCTTTTACTCACGTCCACCAGCTTCTTGCACAGAGAATAATGTGTATCTAACCAAGGATGATCTAGGATAAGTAATTCCTGTTTTATATTGGGTACTTTAGGGGAGTCTTTAAAAGACTTGTTTTATATCTATAAATTTAGGTTATTACAAATACAAGATTTTTGTACCTGAAATAAGCCTCATTCCTATTTCTTCTCCATTAACAATCAGTCCACAGTCTTGGGGAAAAAAAAGGAAAAAGAAAAAGAACCCTCAGAGATGGTCTTTGAGAAGAACTTGTGATGAAATCACTGTGTACTTTCCTTCCCCTAGATGGGGACTTTGGTGCCTGTACTGTTTCCTCTTCTTGTCCCTAACCCAGGTGTTGGCCATTATTGCCTGCCTGGCGTGACCCACAAGGGAGGACAGAGCTGCCTCGAAGCCCCTCTCCTAAAGGGGGCTCAAGGAAAGCATAGAGAGACTGAAAAAGAAGCGAGTTAGGGACCAGGTAGCTCGGAAAGGAATGGTGGACAGTAAGAAATCGAGAACTGCGTCCTCCCTAAGCTAGGCCATCACCTGTGATTGGATTGTCCATATCACACAGTAAGAAATGTGTGTGCTCCATGAGCTGGTCTCTTGAAACAGGACTTGTGTTTTATCTGTATTCTGGTTGAATTTCTCAAACACGTAAGTTCACTGAGCACAGATTTCTTATCCAAAGATAAGTAAAATCTAACCGCAGACTCTTGGCAGAGTTTCCAGGCACGTAGCTCTGGGTTCTGTTCCTCCCCCATTCCAATCCCCAAAGGCCTCCACACTCACTGGGAGTCACAGAGAACTGTCCCCTCCACTTTACAGACTGATGTCCCATAGAAAAGGCATGCATCGGAGCGCCTTGTCGTGATCCTTTTGGGGGAGAAGGAAAGGTTATTTCCTGCATTTCTTGGTAAGATCATCATAGCTTTTAATGTGATGCTCCAGAATTGCATCCATATCAGGTCGGAGTTCAGGTATTTAGATATGAATCCCTACCTATACGTGAATCCCTAACCTAGTATCATCCACAGCCATCTCTGTCCTTTTCGGCAGTGTCTTCCATATTAGATGAGCAGGGACAGAAACTGAGCAAAACAAGTTGGTTGGCCCTCAGAGGCTTGTCTAGAGCACCGAGTAATGAAATAGCCAGGTAGTCGGATGACCCTCCATTAAAAAAATTATATAAATTTACTTAGCAAGCTATATTATGCTACTTTCTATTTTCCTCATTAATTTATAACAATCAATTTTACACTCACAAGGTCAATTTAGAAAATTGTCATTAACTCTTGGGAAGTGTAGTGATATTTTTGGATCTTTAGATTTTATGTATCAGTACAATGAGTTTTTATTATTTAAAATCTGTTTAGAGGAGGCACATTGTTGTTGATGTCTGTGATACCACAGGTTTTTAAAATCTTCTTTGTATGTTTACCTAAGTTTATCATTGACTGAATACAAAAGACCCTACGGTAATTTGTCAAGTATCACTGATTAATTACATCCTTTGTGTGGGATTAGCTGTAAAGTGTACTGCTCTTATTCTTGTTCAGAATAGTGAACTGGTAGCCAAAAATACACGTATCGCAGATATTAGGTAGAATTTAACACAGTCAAGTGCTATAGAAGTTTTTCTGCTAAATTAGTAGATTAAAGACTGTTATTAGACTTTAGCCATTGGGAGCAGCACGTTTTCCTTTGGTAGATAGGATCTCAACACTAGTCAACAGTGCCGGGTTCAGACTTGGGTTTTAGAACTGTTCCCTAGTTATCATAACACAGAATACCATAAATCCCAAATTTCCTTAATGTTGCTTATTGGAAGTGGGGGCAGTAAAGTGTGCATAGGAAAGAAATCTAGTCTTGTGAAGCACAGGCGTCCCCATTTATAAGTAGATCGTACTGCAAAATTCTGTCAGTTGGTTGTTTGCAACCTGGAATGTATTTTCCTTTAGAAACCAGGTTATACATGGTGGTTAGGCTCCCAGACCAGCTAGAAAAGATTATCAAACCTATAGTTTAGCTGAAATAGGATAACATGACAAGATTGCTAAAGAACCTAACCACTAAATATAATGTTGTTTCTAGGGGATATTTGTCCAGAGTTGCCAAGAATATGTCACTTTTGTTGTAGAATCTGGACTGCCCCCCCAGCCACACAGCATGTGCTAGACAGTGGAGGTAGGGTCGCCAGTTAAGAGGTGACCAGAGTAGCCTGAAGCAGGCTCTCCAGTAAAGGAGGGGAAGAATAAGTTCAGGGCCAGCACAGAACCCAGTGGTGGAAGGAGGGTGAGGGAGGAGGAGGGGGCCTCTTGTGGGTTGTAAACCACCAGGGACATTCCTCAGCTGGTACCTTTTCTTTTCTCTGGAAGTCTCAGGCTTGGCCTGCCTGCTTCTATTTGTAGGACCTTTTGATCCTATACGTTTATCTCCTTCCCTGCCTGCTACAGAGGAGGATGTGGCTGCATAGCTTCTCCCATATGCCAGTCATTGAAGCCAGCACGCAGCACTTTTAATGAGTTTAGTGCTAGTAAACTTTGGTTTAACTGCCCAGTCATCAGATGGGGGTAACGAAGCTCTCTACTCACTTTCCTTTTTCACATTTGCAGACCCTGTTGAGAACGCGCACATGGGCGATGGTCATGGGGCTTGGGGTGGACAAAGGACTGTGGTAAGATTCCTCAGTATCTCAGAGGACACCTCAGTTACCCCAGCACTGTCTTCTTCCTGGTGTAGGACTCAAGCCTCTAAGCCAGTGGTTCTCAAAGTGTGGTCCCCACATCAGCAGCATCAGCAGCATCTGGGAACTTGTTGGAATGCAGATTCTCAGGGCCCCCCCCAGATCTAGTGAAATCAGAAACTCTCAGGGTGGGGGCCCAGCAAACTGTGTTTTAACAAGCCCTTCAGGTGGTCTTAGCACATCAAGTTTGAGAAGCACTCTCAGCCAATCAGTCTCTCCTTACCCCCCCACCCCATCCCCCACCCCCACCCCCATTAGTCCTACCTCAGAGGATGGTTCCCAGGACTCGTGAGGCAAGAAATGGGAACGAGGAACTGGGAAGGGGAAGAAAGGGGCTTGGCAGTGGGGTCTCCTCTCTGGGGAAATGCTGATCCAGCTGCACAATTGCACACAAAGGCTGCCTGCGCTCAGGCATAACTTTGGGCTGAGACACGAAAAGATTGCATTTTTTAAAACTGAAGAAATGAAAGTGAGGGGGGGTTTCTGTTTGGTTTTTTGAGGGGGATTAAAAGGAAATACCCTTTGTAAGTGCAACCTTGAAGGAAATACTGAATTCATGTCAGAAGTCAGTTCTCCAGAATGTTTGTGGTCACTGCGTGGTGATCAATCCTGTCCTCCCTTTAAAGTTAATTCTCTGCTGAGCGGTTTGCACGCTTAAGGAGCTGCAAACTGCTCCGAAAAGAATGGAGAGCTCGGTTCCATTTCAGTACATCAGAATGCTGGTGCTGGATGGCACATTCTTTAGTTGGGGTGGAACAGCACATTTAGTTGGAGTGGGGAGGAGATCGGTGATATGATCAAATTTGATTTTATGTCTTAGAGTAAAAGCTATTAGTTTCCCTTAGTTTATCAGTGTAAATGGCTTGAGGCTTAGAAAGGGTGTAAACATTAAGAATATAATTCCTCCATTCCAGTTCACAGGAAACTTCTAGCCACTTCCAAAATACAGACTATATCATTTAGCAATGCTAATAAATAGTTTTCCTGCAGGATGGCAGATCTGGGAATCTTTTAACAGAACATACTTTCTCTAAAATTCACACAGTGAATTATTTATAATGATATAAAGCTTTAGGTACAAATTGGGGGTGGGGTGGCTAACAACTGAAAAATATCACTAAATCTAAAAGGAAAAGTTCTCGAAAAACATAAAATTCACAAAGCTCAGACATTCTCCTTCAGGGTTTTCTTGGAGGAAGGGCTGTGGAACTGGGCCCATCTGTACAGGCTTGAATTTGTGTTTTTAAAAGGAAGAATCTATGCAGCTGAGGCTTATTGTAGGAAATACTTCATTTGTATGTAAATATATTGTAAATAAATAGGAGGCTGTATATTTTTGCAGTTGTTTATCCACACTGAAATAGAAGTCTCTAGTATCTGCATATCAAGAATAAATGTTTTCATAGATATTAGTGGTTTTGTTTGGGAATTAGAAATATTTACATTCTCTCCCAGGTAACATAGTTCTCTCGATGTAAACTTCGAACCTAAAAATCTTAATTGTTTAGAAAGAGAAATGTCTGAGATATAGTTGCATTGATTTCTTATACTGGTAGTAAGATCAATTATTTAAAAGATAGTCCTCTGAGCTACAAATAAGGAATATTTAGATCCAAATTATTGTCATATAGAAATAGCTATACCCAAATGACAAATTGTTTCTTTATAATTCTCTTTCATTATTAACACTGATACCACTCACAGTATTTATGAAAACAGAAGTTGGGGAGGAGAATGGATTTTTTTTTTCAAAATTGAATTGCTGCATTTCCCAAACTTTGGGATCTTTGAAAGAGGGAAAAAACCTGAGTATTAACTATGAGCACAAATTTGAGGGGGAAAAAGAACTGTTATTTTATCAAGCTTCTGAAAATCTTGCGTGTTTGCCTTTTATTTTTGGTGTTGACGCCAACATAGACTGTCTTAAGTAATTTTTCCCCAAACACTTGATTCTGGAAAATCCCTAGAGTCCAGTGTGTCTTAGATTTCATCTGAGTCCAGTATGTGTATCACACCACTGTTTTATTCATGTAAAAACCTTGTAAATGAATTTCAGATGGGTGATTTATGTGAGTCACAAGTCACCAAACTTTGCTATTCATAGTTAATCAAATGGGGTTTTTTTCGGGATGTGATGTAAATATAGAAATGTAAGAAGTTCTGTTCTATAACAGCTCTGTTAACATAGTTTTTAAACATTAAAAATGTGAACTAAGTATTTATGAATTTTGTGTTCATTCTTTTGGGATGCGATACTAAAATGGGGGGCATTTGAGAACTATACACACTATTCAGGATTGTTGGAGACAGATTTTTACACATTTGTCCATGTTCTAGAACACTATCTGTTCATGGAAGCTTATATTTACGTGCCCAAACTTTAAATTTTTTTATTTTTATTTTTATTTATTTTTTTCCCCCAAAGCCCCAGTAGATAGTTGTATGTCATAGATGCACTTCCTTCTAGCC